GCAGAAAGGATATGTGATAGGTAGGGTTTTAGTTGTGGGGTGGTGGTAGGGAAGGATGGGAGGGAGAAGGGAACTGGGCCTGTCAAGTAAAACAACCTTGTTTCTAATTCAAATAATAAAAAAAAACTGCAAGAAAAAAAGATAAAAAAAAAAAAAGGGGAAAACTCTACCGCCTTCATCTTCTAACATAAAATGTTCCTTCCTAGATTCAAAAACAAACAAACAAACAAACAAAAGCCCCCTCAGGTTCAAGCCAGCAAGACAGCTCACTGGGTAAAGGTGCTTGCTGCCAAGCCTGATGGCCGGAGTTCCATCTGGGACCCCCCATGATGAATGGAGAGAACCAACTCCGGAGTGTTGCCCTCTGACCTCCACATGCATGCCACCAGATATGCACACCTGAACACACACAGTAAGTAAACAATTCTCAACTTCAGAAAATAGAAAACATTTATGGAAGAAAAAATAGAAAAGGGAAAACCTTTAAAACAGGTGTTTGTATGTAAATGTAATACTATGTACCGAAGTGTAATACTATGTTACTATTAGGTCAACAAGAATATTAAGTAACAGATGCAATAATTAGTGAAAGTTAAGTTCTAAATGTTGCAACAGAGGTAATTTTTAAGTGTTTATTTATTTATTTACTTATTTTATGTGTATAGTATTTTATCTACATGTGTGTCTGTGCACTCTATGCATGCCTAGGACTGGGCTTATAGACAGTCCTGAGCCAGCATGTGGGTGCTGGGATCCCAACCTCTTCCAGAACAGCAAGTGCTCTTAGCCACTAAGCCATCTCTCCGGCTCTGCAAAGGTACATTTCTTTAAAAACATAACAAAGAGTTCTTTCAAAAGATGAGAAAGACTTGCCACAGAGCAGAATCCCGTTAAAAGAATTTGTTTTGAGTGTTTTAGTGATGGGTACAAACACCCTGACAGTTTGCAATTTAAAAAAAGAAAAAAAGAAACACTTTGATATTTAAATCAACAGCAGAGTTCAGCAATGACTTTAGTGATCCTGAAACAGAAGTCAGAAAACCAAATTTATCAAAGAAAAGAAAGGTAGCCAGATTTCAGTGTGAGAGGGTACAGCCAGCCGGACCTACAGCATCACCAGAGCTGTAAGACTGCCGTTAGACCAGTGGTTCACATTTTCAACTGGTCAGAGAGCCCACTGAACCTCCTAAATAATTAGACACATACAACTTTAGAGCAGTCACAAGCTCTAGGAACTGGATGGTTAAGTTCTTTGTCTGAGAACAACAGGAAATAACTATACATACAGGTATACTCTTCACACAACCAACATGTGTTTATCAAAAGCATGGAAGCAGAGCTCTCAACAGAAAAACAAATTAAAAACCATATCAAGCTGGCTCTTACTTTGTATGGCCTTCAAACTGCCTGAGGGGAGCCCTCCCACTTATATCAAAAAGTTGAACCACACCATCTTCACTGCCAGCAACAAGCAGTTGGCCATCCTGTCGAAAAGTAGCACAGTATGCTGTGTCCTTAAAACGGGAAAAGGTTTTTATAGGTTCTTGAGAGTATCGGCCATAAATGTGGATCTGTAAGATAAAAAGCAGTATTTCACTAGATGGCCCAAGCCCAGTAGTAAATCCTATAACAAGAACAAAGATGATCACTACTGTACTTACTCTTGAAGAAGCTGTGACTGCATAGTTATACGGAGGCTGAGGAGAAAAGTCTACTTTGGACACGGCACCAAACTCCTTAATCTGAACAGGAGTCTTAATGAAAAACAAAAGAGTATTGGCAGAGTTAAAAAGGCGAGCCATACTTAAGCATCACGCTATTTTCTATGGATCATTTCCTTTTGATCTTAGTACCAATTAGTAGGTTGTATTCACAGAGAAATATGAGGAAAAGAGGAAGAGGAAAGACATAAGAAAGGGTGAAGCAAAAACCACTCTATTGTCCAACCCCCAGACTATTCCCTTGACATTACAGAAGTAAACACAGTTAGAGAGTCACATCCCATTGTCTCAGCAGCTAACTTTACTCCAATGCCCACCAAGAAAAAGAAGAGCTAAGCCTACATCAATCAACTATGATTCTAAGTTAATAAAAAGATGAACAGACCATGTAAACAGACCTACATCTTTTTTGCACCCACTAACCCATTTTAGCAATCTCTGCATATAAGCAATAAATTTGCCATCCATTTTTATAAAGATACACCATCCACCAACCCATGTCTAATGGACATATTTTCCAAGAATTCCAATATTACATTACATATGTTAATAAACATTTTACATATCTTAATAAACGTTTGAAAGCATGCTAGGCTTCAAGCTATGAGTACAAAGCAAAAATGATGTTTTTATAAAATCCTAACAGTTATTGTCAATTCCCTTTCTCAATTTTCTTTCTCATTTATGCCAATATGACAGAAAAAAAAAGTATCTAAACTGTTATCTTATTTGGTTTTATGTTCTGTTTTTTTCATCTTATTTATTTGTACTCATGTGTATGTGTGTATCTGCTTGCCTAAAAATGCACATGTGTGAAACACATGCTGAAGGTAGAAAAAGATACTAGAGCCCCTGGAACTGGAGTTCAAGGCTGCCCACTGTGCTGGGAACTAAACCCAGGTCCTATGAAAGAGCAGCAAATGCTCTTGATTTCAAGTAGCTAAGACTACCCTCAGCCTCCCTGAGTAACAAAGAATGACTCTGAACTTACCATCTGGCCTCCACCTCTCAAGGGCTGAGATTACAGGCATGTGCCACCAAAGAGGTTTGTGCAAGGCTGGAGACTGAACTCAGGGCTTCGGGCATGCCAGACAAGCATTCTACCAACTGAGCGACTCCATTTTAGTTTGTGAGTAACATTTTTATTATCTGATTATATTTCATTTTCCACAAACAACCTAATTGCAAACGTTTTCTAGTTTTCTAGGTTCTCAATTTAAAAAAAAAAAAATTGCAAGCCTTACTAGAAGGTACAGAGAAGCTAATTTCAGAGTAAGAAAAAGCAAGAAAGTCTTCCTGCATATAAGATTCAAGTTTTACAGTTTCACTTGTCATTGCACACATGTTCTGCATTAAACATCTGCATGGTTAAATTAAGTGGTATGGACTTTTACATGAAGCTCTAAGAAAAAACTGATAACAAATTATCCACCTGAACTATTAGTTTTAGCTAACAGTTCTGCTAGCATAAGATGGAGAATTAAGATAAATGGATAAAGAAATGTCCAAATTCTTTCTTCCCTCATTTCCTCTTGTACTTTACCTTATAATTGTTCCAGTACAGAGTGTCTTGGGTGATTTTTTCACCAAGTACAGGATATGTCTGAATCGCTACAGGTTTATAACCAGCCATGATTTCATATAGTTACACTGCTGTCCCAGGGTCAATAATCTGGAACTGATGTCAGGGAACTGCAGTGACTCTGCCTTATACCTAAAAAATAAAAAAGAAAAGAAAAGAAAAAAGCACATATTATGTATACACTTTCACATACAAGTATGATTTTCATTCTACTTTCTTTCAAAAGGCTGTGTGGAACTTCACCGATTAGTGACCAACAAACCATTTCATTGGAACCCTAGAAGAAACACTGGAAGAATACAGCATCTGCAGCATCTGTACATACTAGCTGTATATGTATGTTCTCAAATCTCCAAGACCAGTCTGTAACACTTGAAAATAAACATGACTCAGCCTCCCAACAGTCCAACTAGAAAAGCATGCAGGCCTAGAATGCTTGTTTTCTTGACAAAGGAAATAACATAGAACTCAAAATATCAAGTTATCTCTACATATTTGGCTTCCTAAAGAAAAAGATACCAAGAAGAAAGGAAAACAAAGCTAATATTTTAGTGTAGAAGCTTATGATGAAATTAGAGATAATGTTCTGACATAAGACAAAAGGTTTAAACTGTAGGCTAGAAAACCAAAATAGAGCAAACTTAAAATGGCAGAATAAGATTTAAAAAATGTGGGGGAGAAGGAATGGGGGTGAGGGGAGGGAGAGGGAGAGGGGAATTACATGTGAAACAAGCCTGTTCCCTAACTTGTATTAATAATAATAATAATAATAATAATAATAATAATAATAATAAGAGAAAAAAAAGATTTAAAAAATGAATTAAAGCTCTTAACATGCAATGAAACCAACATCTTCGGAGAAGCATTCAACTGAAGACAGTCTATTTTATGGATGAATGGTTCCAGTGATACAACTCTCCATCCATTTGAGAGGGCTGCAAAGATGACATCAGTAACACCGGAACAAATAGCATGCCATGTTCTGACTAACGCAAAGCAAACCAAGATTCAAGAGAGAAACTTTTCTATTCAGTCAAACACCTCCAATGTGCAAGATAGTATTCAAGGCACTGGGAATCCAAGGACAATAAACAGACATGATCTATACCTTCAATGATTGGGCCTATTAGGAATCTAGACTTAGCTTCATCCTCATTCCTAAAACTCTGAAGAAGTATCACGTATCACTGCCCTCTGATAGAGACACTAGCAATCAAGATTTCAACTCTCAAAGATTTCTTTGTGTGCAAAAGTGTGTGTATAAAGCCAGAGAGTCTTTCTCTATAGTGCTGCACCTTATTTCTGAGACAGGATGATATCTCTCATTGAACATAAAACTCACCAACTGACAACACTGCCTAATTAGCAAGCCTGACTAACAAGCCTGGGGGAATCTTCCTGTCCCTGCCACCCAGCACTGGGATTTTAGGCATACTCCAAGCTCTCCTTTTTACCTAGGTGCTCAGGATTTGACCCCACTATATTCACTAAGACATCTCCCCAGCCCTTAATCTCTCAAATATTTCTAAACCTCAAATTTACTTAACCCTAGTTCAATTGCACTAACTTTTGTCTTTTTGACAACTGAAATAAAAGCAACACCATTCAAAAGTCTCCTGGACTCCCGAATCCATCTTCCAAATAGTAGTGTGGCTACAAAACTGAATACTGCCCAGAAAATGAAGCCCTAGATCCTTAGCATGTAAGGTTCCCTTTGCTCTGCCCCTTTAAGCTTCACCTCTTGCTGTTACTGTTTACAGTTCACTAAACTCAGCACACTCATTCATTCTTGCTTCAACATGTGCTCTCTACCAGGAAGGTCCTTTATCTGTTTAAGGTCATTGCAGGAAATCAGACTGTCCTTCAGAAATCCCTCTCTGCCTTCTGAGACTGGGTGCTCTCTCCTATGATCCAATTTGTCTCTATTTCTGTAAGTGTGCATAATCTCGCTGCATTGTAGTGACCTTTTTCCAGTTAAATAGAACAACATATTGGAAGTATTTGTTTGTAAAAATGCTCAAACAATGATCTTTTTAAAAGGGGGAGCATCATGAAAATTCCTATTGGAAAAACATAAAATCAAAAGCATTAGTGGTTTATAATAAGAACAATGCTATACAGCAGGTGTTCAATCAAGGGCCAGCCAGATGGTAAATGTTTTAGGCTTGGCCAAACAACAGGCAAAATAGGAGATATTCTATAATTAATGACATAGGAAAAATTCACAATTTTTACAGGAGGCTTCCCTAACAATCATAAACACAATCTTTGTTGTTGTTTGTGAAAGAGAGTAGAATTCTCTGAGGTCAAGGGCTACTTCACTTAATTCCAAGCCAATCACTGTACATATAAGACAGTATGTTTATCTGTTAAAAAAAAAAACTTAGCTCATTAAATATACAAAAACAGACATCAGAATAGATTCAAGGATGGGTAGCTCCTAAATCTATTTTTCAAGAAATAAAACCATTTGGAGGAAAGAAGTGAATAGTAGCTGTGACAAAATGAAGATAGGCATTGGTGTCCCGTATGAGGGAAGACAGTGCAAATAGCGAGTTGCTATGAAAACGAATGAAAGAAAACTGGACCAAAGTCAGGGCCCAAGAAACTGGGGTTTACTGAATAACAGGCATTACTACAAGGTGTGATCAAATAAACTCTGTAGTTAGAGTACTGAGAACATGCAAGAGGAAGATGTTTAATTCTACCTGGAAAAGGTTTTCCATTTCATCAGCGTCTGTGAGCATGACATGACACGATGAGCACAAAAGGAGTAAACGCAGAGTGAGACGAATACCCGGCCATTCTCAAATCACCAGGACAGAAATCTGTCCTTGGCTTTGGAGAAAAGCAGGTTACTCTGGGGACTGACATCGGTGGCTAGGAGAGCGACTACAGAGGAGCAAAGCCTGGGTCGAATTAAATCGCAAGGATCCTCAGAGGCAGGTAAGTTCAATGATCTGCGGAGCCTGGGAAGGGCCAGAGCAGCATGTCCAGCATGTCAGAGATCAGAGTGAGGCCTGAGCAGAGCCTGGGCCGCCACCGGGAGCCACCATCGCCTACCTCTGCGGGGCCCCGAGGGTCCGCCGAGGCACCCCGATCCCCAGGACGACTCCCCAGACTTCGCCAGCTCGCTACAGCAAATGTCTCAGAAGCACTTGCTCAAACTCACGCGGACACTCCAGGAGCCGGAAATGCAGAGGCGCCGGAGCGCGGCGCGGACGGATGACGTAATGGCGCATGTGCAGAAGCAACCAAGAACTACAAGCGAGCCCCGGTGGGTGGAGCAGTCGGGGAGGGGCTCGGCCTTTCTCTGGTGATCCGGAACCGAGGTGACCCTTAGTTCTCTGAGAGCATGGGCTGCGGACCGCGAGGGGAACCAGGAGAAATCCCTGGAAGTCGTCTCGCCTTCGCTGAATGCTCTGGGCTTTTTTCAGAGGAGGAAAAATATAGGAAGTGACGTCTGGGTCCGAAGCAGGCCGGGCTTGAGGACTTGTAGCGATCCGCAGCTGGCCCTGGCCGGGCCGGAGCCTCCCCTGCGGTCTGGGTTGTCGAGTCACCCGCTGGACGGTCCCCTGTCCCGGGGTCCGCTCGCCGCTCGAGAGCGAGTTCAGCCTGCGGCGGGAACGCCCGCCGGGACACCTGTCGCTTGTGAGACGTTTTTCTTTCTTTCTTCCTTCTTTCTTTCCTTTCTTTCATTCTTTCTTTCTTCCTTTCTTGTCTTCTCTTTTTCTTTTTTCTTTTTTAAATAACAACTTTTTCGTCTCGTAGGACAATTTCAAGAGTTTGGAAGAACGGGATGCCTCTGATATTTGCTTCCCCTGGGTCGGTGTCCACTGCCCGCATTTAAGACTCTATCTAACCTTGCCTGAGCTCTGGCAAGTGAGCCTACCTACTGTCTATGTTAACCCTTTCTGATCACCTGTTATTCATTCATTTTTTTTCCTCTCCTGCACATCACCTTTTGGCAAATGTACATCTTTGCTTCTCCTTGGAGCCTACATAAGGGTTCCTTCCATATTTGCTGATCTCCCTTCAAAGACTGGCAATTCCGTATATTGAAACCTTGACTTGTTCTATAGGAGCTGCAAAGAACATTAGAGATGACTATTTCTACATCATTTTATAAACGATTGAGTCTCGGGAAATGTATACAATTTGTGTGATCAACACAAATTCTATTGTTGAGAATGGAAAACCACATCCAACTAAAAAATGTGAGAAACAAAATGTTAAAAATTGTTGAAATTAAGGTCAGAAAATATCTATGGAGCACCAGATAGGTTTTGTGTGTTGTGACTCCCCTGAGTAGTTTTAGCCAGGTGTGGTGGCGCACGCCTTTAATCCCTTTAATCCCGGCACTCCTGAGGCAGAGGCAGGTTTCACACAGTGTTTCCCTAGGCCAGCCAGCTCTACATAATAGTGAGCTTGACTATAAAGTCAGACCTTGTCTCAAAAAATAAAAATAAAAAAGTGGTCTCTATCTGCCAGTTTTCCCCCTTAATGGGAGTTTGAAAGGAAGCTGTCAAGAGAATACCAAGTGTTAAAAGAAACACATGACATCCCCCCAGGGAGCCGGAGTTGCTCTCAGCCCACTGACCCTAGAAAAAAATGGTACTTCATGCTGTGTCTTTTTAAAGACCCAGTCTTCTCTCCACGCCTCCATCTTTCATTGAGTCTCTGAACTAACTTTCTGTTCTTGTTGCCTTCTGACAAAATGTAGCGACTTTGCTATGGGATACTTTTTCTGACTATAGTCTGTCTTCATCTCTCCCCGGAAGTTTTGGACTCTTTCTATTGCTGTTTACTTACTGACCACAGTGATAGAGTTGGTAGAGCAAGGTGTGTCTACCGGGAATCAGGAGCTTTTTCTTGAGTTGAAAAAAATTACCTGCCTGTTCTACTGAGAAGATTGTAATAAGGATCAATATTTTTTTGTGTTTTGGTTTTTTCGAGACAAGGTTTTTCTGTATTGCTTTGGAGGTTGTCCTAGAACTAGAACTTGCTCTGTAGACCAGGCTGGCCTTGAACTCACAAAGATCTGCCTGCCTCTGCCTCCCGAGTGCTGGGATTAAAGGCTTGAGCCACCAATGCCCAACGGGCTCATATCAATCTTTTTTTTAAGGATTTTTTTTTTGGGGGGGAGGGTAGGTTCAGGACATGGTTTCTCTTTGTATCCCTTGGCTGTCCTAGAACTCAATCTATAGACCAGGCTGGCCTTGAACTCAGAGATCCACCTGCCTCTGCCTCCCTTCACTATCTGACTTATTTTGTCTCTTTTAAGGATTTTAGGGTCTCTCGATTATGTAGCTCTGACTGTCCTAGAACTTTCCATGTAGACCAGGCTGGCTTCGAACTCAAGAGATTCACCTACCTCTGCCTCCCAAGTGCTGAGATTAAAGGTGTGTGTCATCACACCTGGCTTGTGTAAGGTTTTCGTATGTATGTTTTCAGGGCTGTTCTACCTATTACATAACCAGTAGGTATTCTCGTCTCTGGGGAAGACTGTTTCTCCTGCTGTATAGTAGTGCCTCCACCATGCCCAGCGGGATCAATCTTTTGAAATGATTTTAAAATTAAAACACTGAACAGTGGTTATGTGGTCAATTCATTTTTCCCTTGATTCCAAGTCATTCTGATCATTGCACACTTAGTACCCTTTCAGAATGTCCAAGGTACAGTATGCTGTCACATGACAAAAATTAATTGGATGTTCATTTCTTCCCATTTTAAGGGATTATGTATTTGGGACTGTCATATATCCTGTGATACCGATCCATAATCTCCATATTTTATTTTTCATTAAAACTTACATCCAGCCCGGCATTGGTGGCACACGCCTTTAATCCCAGCACTCGGGAGGCAGAGGCAGGCAGATCTCTGTGAGTTCAGGGCCAGCCTGGTCTCAGAGTGAGTGCCAGGATAGGCTCCAAAGCTACGTAGAGAAACCCTGTCTCGAAAAAACAAACAAAACAAAACAAAACAAAACAAAAAACCTTACATCCAGCCAGGCAGTGGTGGCTCAAGACTTTAATCCCAACACTCGGGAGGCAGAGGCAGGTGGATCTATTAGAGTTAAAGGCCAGCCTGGTCTATAGAGCGAGTGCCAGGACAGCCTCCAAAGCCACAGAGAAACTCTGTCTCGAAAAACAAAAAAAAAAAAAAAACAACCTTACATCCAGTTGTTTATGCTTACTCTGAACAAAAGATGACAGATATACTTTCGATTCTTCAACAGTAGATTTTGTAGGTGCAGAGAGATGACTCAATGGGTAAAGGCACTTGCTGCCAAAGCTGATGACTTGAGTTCAGTCCCTGAGACATTCATGAAGGAAGGGAGAACCACTTCCTGAAATGTGTCCTCTGACACATGATATGCCTGCTGTGGCCCATGTGTTCCCACACACATGCAAACAAAATGCAAAGTAATAACTACTTTTTAAAATAAGTTTTGCAAAGTGCTTCACTGTCTCAATCGTGTATTATAGAGAATAGTGCTAATCAACTTGGCTACAAGTTGGTTATATCTCAGTTCAAACTGGGAGCCCACTTACAGGAACAGCATTTTTAAAAAATGAATCTCAAATTATAGCTTACTGTTTTAATATGAGCCTGGTCCTTAAACATTTGCCAATAGTCAGATATCGGAAAGAGTAGAAACTAACTAAAATGTGTTGAAACATAGTGATGGAGGTGTACTGTATTTCCTTCATCCTTTTCCAGGATGATGGTGGTATCTCTTTTTACAAATGATACTCAAGGTCATTAACTCATGCACATCACATAGCTAATAAATGAGAAAGCTTGAGTTCATGGGCAGGTTACCTACCTCTGAGTATTGTGTATCTCCTATTATGGACAGAATCTTACAAGAGCACTGTTTGGATTTGTGGTTGAAAGTAATTGTGTGTATACATTTACATAAGTTATAATATGCTGCTTTAAATTTTCCAAATCTTTCCTTTCAGATACTTTAATATCCCAATTCCAAGCATACACTGGAAAACACCCTTGCAAAACCAAGAGGAAACCGTGAAGAAATGTTTTAATTATTGAAACCATGGCTACATCAGCAAATCTGGACATTGGGGCCCAGCTGATTGTGGAAGAGTGTCCCAGCAGCTATAGTCTCTCTGACATGCCAGACATCAAAATAGAGCACCAGCTGGACCCAAACTCAGAAGAAGGGTCAGCGCAGGGTGTTGCCATGGGAATGAAATTCATATTGCCAAACCGATTTGATATGAACGTATGTTCTCGGTTTGTGAAGTCCTTAAATGAAGAGGATAGTAAAAATATTCAAGATCAAGTTAACTCTGACCTGGAGGTGGCATCTGTCTTATTTAAAGGTTGAAAGTTATGGTATAACTCCCTACAATTGCTTTCATTTGCCCTATTTCATTCTGTTTTCCTCTGCCATGAAATCAGAGTTGAGGAAAAGCATGAAGTTCTTTTAGGAAGATTTTTCTAGGATCTCACAGAAGCCAACATTAAATTTCTATTAATTTTGAAAAATATTCCTTTCTAAGCTGGTGTAGTGATGCATGCCTTTAGTTAATCCCAGCACTTGATAGGCAAAGGCAGGTGAGTTGAGAGCCAGCCTAATCTGCTCTCACTAGTTCAGTCCATCCAGGGATACATAGTGAGACCCTGTCCAACAAATAAAATCCTTGCCTAATCTTTATTTACAATTTCTTTAATTTGGTTATTCTTAGTTGTATTTTGTTTTGTTTTTGTTTTTTTGAGACAGGGTTTCTCTGTGAACCCCTGGGTGCCTTAGAACTAGCTCTATAGACTAGGCTGGCCTCAAACAGAGATCCACCTGCCTCTGCCTCCCAAATTCTTCAATTAAAGGCTTGCACCACCATCGCCTGGCCTAGTTACATCTTTTTAAATAATAGAAAAATATTCCTTTTTCAAAATTAGTTTAATATTTTCTATTTCATGACTAATTTACATCTTAATTTACATTTTAATCCAGTGATCTGTCAGCATGCTTTAAAGTTACTTTGTAATCTATTAATATTAAAACTAGTCAATAAAATTTTTCAAAATTAATAGTTTTCTTTGTAGAACTTATACTGTAGTAGTATAGACTCATACAGAATTACTATCAACTGATGAACACTTGAATTGAAACTGTTAAGCCTCATACATTTTTTTCATGTGAACATTGACACTTTTATTAGAATGCTTTGTCCTTAAAATACTATTTTAATTTGTTTTATTTAGCTGAGTGCAATATCCATACATCTCCTTCTCCTGGGATTCAAGTAAGGCATGTCTACACCCCCTCTACAACAAAACATTTCTCCCCCATAAAACAGTCAACTACTTTAACCAACAAGCACAGGGGAAATGAGGTCTCTACCACACCTCTGTTAGCAAATTGTAAGTATGCGCTAAGAATGTACTGAAACATTACTACTAGTGTAATTAACTAATGCAATTACAAATTAGGAATTGGGCTTTGAAATATTAGTATCCCTAAATAAACATTCCAGTTTGGAAAGCTTAAGTGATATATTTATCACTTTAATAAATTGAAACTTTTTCATGTGTTTTTATGTTTCACCGTTTCCTGTTATATCTCTCTGAGAACAAATACAGTTTAAAATATTATTAAAACCTTTATAGTTTTACCATAAAAAAGTGAGTTACTGTGAATTATTTGCAAATTAAGATATCAATGTTTTTGTGTTCTTGGGAGTTTTGTATTTAGTGGATATGGGCACATATTTATTGTAAATATGTCCTTATGTATTATTTCACTAAGAAATAGTTTGTACTAAAAGCTAAATAATTTTTACTGAAATGTTTCATTAGCATATAAATATAATGACTTGGAATGTAAAGTCATTATATAGGATATAAAGTTTCTCTAAGCTAACCGATATTGGGTGAGGCATGAGTATTTGAATGAGAGAAAACCCAGCTAACAGCTAGATGATAATAACTACATTTGGTACCATAATGTGAGTGTGTCTGTATTCTGGTGAGTATCTTGATCTTTACTTTGGAAATCTTAAATCCCTCCAGATGTCACAGTTGCATACTATAGCAGTTGAGCCAGGAAGAATCTTTTAGCATTCTAATTCCACCTATGGGCCATTTCTAGTTTAGGTAAATGTGTGTATGCTTCACAGTTGCTTTTCTGTATTGAGACTACCCAGTCATATCACTAAAGGCAGTATTATTTAAAGGTGCTTCTCAAAACCATTGTCTTACAATATTCTAACTGTAGAACTTCTCTACTGAAAAAAATAAAATAAAAAGCTAAAGACTGTCCCCCCTGGCATGAATAAAAAATTATAATCAGTTAGTCAGAATTAACATGCTAACTAGCCTCAATTAAACCTCTACTCATAAATTTACTTTCACCAACCATGGTGGTCACACCTATAATCCCAAAACTCATGAGACTGAGGTAGGACAATCAGAAGTTTAAAGCTATCCAGGCTACATAATGAGACTGTCTTTAAAATTAAACTTACCCCCTCAAAAAAAAAAAATCTCACACAGCTAGTTTTCTACTTATGAACTCATTCCTAATTTTAAGAAAACCCATCCAATTCCAAAATAAAAATATTCAGGAGGCTGAAGAGATGGCTGAGCAGTTAAGAGCACTGACTGCTCTTTCAGGGGTCATAGGTTAGATTGCCACCACTTACTTGGCTGTCAACCCCCAGTAACTCCAGATGCCTCAATGGGCACTGCAGGCCAAATACCCACTTGCATAAATTTAAAAATACATGTACCTAATTAGCATTTAAAAGGCTGGGAATGGTGATATATCCCTGTGGTTTCACCTGTTTAGAAGGTTGAGGTAGGAGGATTGTTTGAGCCTACATGCTCAGCTTGGGCTCAGCAGCATGGTGAGACCCTCTCTCGGGAAAAGAAGTTAGCTCTTCAGTGGAATCACTAAGAAAACTAAAAGGAATGTCTTTTTGGCCTTCCTCGTAAGTTTGGATACAGAAGTAGCATGTTAAACATTAAGTACATAAATCACTCTTTAGGATAAATTTTGCCCCAAAAAATGATAATTTGCAGATGTCATATTACCATATGAGTCAGTTCTCAGAGAACACTATCTGAGGATACCAGGATACTTCCCTTCATTAGGCTTACATGATGAGTTGGTGGGTTTTGTTTTGGAAAAGAAACTGGCTTCACCCTGAGACAATAGCTGTGTACCTACAAGATGCACTTGAAGAATTTTAACATTATATTGTTTCAGCTTTGTCTGTTCACCAGTTGGCAGCTCAAGGAGAAATGCTCTACCTGGCTACTCGTATTGAACAAGGTAATAGCCTAGTTTTAAGTACTATATTTTAAATATTCATTTGAATTTATTAGGTTTGTTATCTGTTTTATTTTCATATAGGAGACTATAAAGACAAAATAAGTTGTATAATCTTGCCAAGCACATAAGCCAATGGATAGCAAAAAGGGAAATTTTAAGTAACAAAGTATAAAATTTGGGACTTTAGGGTGGCTCTGAGATTAAGAGCACTAGCTCTTCTTCCAGAGGTCCCATGTTTAGTTCCCAGCACCCATATGGCAGCTCACTACCATCTGTAACGCCAGGTGTAGGGTATTTGATGCCCTCTTTCTAGCCTCCAAGGGTACCAGGTACATATGTAGTATACATATATACATACAAGGCACAACAACCATACAAATAAAATCACTTGATTTTAAAAAGAAGTTTTAGCTTCCTTTTCCCCAAAACAAACATTGTAAGTTTTTTGTATTTCTAGAAATCATTTCCATTTATGGTTACATTTGAGAATATGTATGTGCTTTTGTTAGGTATACAAGCAAGAAAATGTTACATATACTGCAACATGTCTTTTTTCATTTAATATTGGAATTGTTCTACTAATTGGAGAGTGTTCTACTAAACTTTTTTTTTAATGTGTGTGTGTGTTTTGCCTGTATGTGTATATGTAACACTTGCATGCCTGGGACCTGTGAGGTTAAAAGAGGATCCCTAAGAACTGGAGTTAGGATGGTGCCAGCCATCCTGTGCGTTCTGGGAACCTGGGTCCTCTGCAAGAACATTGAAGTGCTCTTAACTGCCGAGCCATTTCTCCAGCCATAAGATCTTTTTCTTGAGAAAGAGTCTCACTATGTTGCCCAGGTTGACCTCAATCTCACAGTCCTCCAGTCTCCGCCTTCTGAGTTCTGGGATCACAAACATGTATCTCTACACCCAGCCATTTTATCCTGTTTTACTATAATGTGTATGTATTACTATGATTTTTATTTGTTCTTTTAACAATTCACCTGGCTGATTACAAATGTTTGCTGGCAATCCTAGCATAAATTCTTTATAAATATATACATTGAGTAAATTTTCATACATAGTATGCCAGGTCATAAACTAAATGATTTTTGTCGTGCCGTGGGTTGAATCAGCTCTTCACATGGGCTAGAACAGTGCTCTGCCCCAGAGCCACACCTCTGACTCTGCCTCCGCCTTCTTGTTGTTACATTTTAACTGGATGTTTGTCCTCACATTAGCCTTAGAGTTGCAGTTTCCCCAAACTGTCACATATGAAGTGAGACTTCAGTTCTTAATAATCTTTGGGGAAAAGTGGTGCCTCACAGGAATTCCACTGATACATTTAGGTTATAATGCCTTTGAGTTTCTTTTTGTCTGAACTACCTACGGTATATTTGTATATTTGTATCGTATAAACTTCAAAGTGGAAGAAACTGACTTCTGTTGTTTTGTGCATATAGTTTTCCCCAATTTGTCCATTTTGTATGACCTCTTCAGATTTTTAATTGTAAATTTTTCTTCTTTTTGACTTTGGAAGTTCGTGGCCTACTTTGAAGATTCCCCACTCTAGGATTATAAAGAAACCACTGATTTTTACGCTGGAACTTGTCTGGTTTCCTTTTTTATCATCTTTGATGTATAAGAAAACTGCCAGGTGGTGGTGGTGGCAGACACCTTTAATCCCAGCACTTGGGAGGCAGAGAGGCAGGCGGATCTCTGTGAATTCAAGGCCAGCTTGGTCTCCAGAGTGAGTGCCAGGACAGCCATGGCTATGTAGAGAAACCCCCTGTCTGGAAAAACCATCATTGTTGATTACAGGGAGCATGATCCAAGAATTTTATTTTCATAAGACTTAGATGTATTTCTGTTTATACTTAACTATCGGGGGCTGGAGGGATGATTCCAAACCTAAGAGCTGGTACTGTCTTGCAGAGGACCTCAGTTCCATTTCCAGCACCCACATCAAGTGGTTTACACTGACCTGTAACTCCAGGGAGATCTGAAGCTGCTGGTTTTCACAAGCACCTGTACTCACATGCACCCACACCCCACCCCCACACTTACATAGTTAAAAAATAAAAATAAATATTTAAAAGTAGAAATTTCATGTTCAAAAAAATCTGAAAAAAAATTTCATGTTCAACCTACTAAAGTGTACAGGGAAAGCTGTGCAGTTTATAACTATTAGGCTACATTCAGGGAATAAATGAGGTTAAAGGTGAAATAATGTGTTACACTAAAGATGATCGAATCTCCATATTATGCTGGCAACTGTACGGATGAAGGAAAATCACAGGCAGCAAGGCTAGCTAGAGTGGAAGGTAGCTTTCGAAAGCTGTTGAAGTTTTAAGTATACATTTAGGTAATGCTAAGGGCTATCATGTATCATTTTATTGTGATCTTCCCAGGTATGTGTTGAGATAAGCAAGCTATTAATCTGTGTTTAGCAGAAATTAAGTCACTTGCCCAGAACCAAACCACTAGAAAATGAAAGAGCCAGGATTCTATCTTGGGTTTCCTGTCCCTGAGACCAAAGTTGACAATCTTGTACCTAACACGATACTATACTGTGTGTGGTAGTTTATACTTTACAGAGTGTGTTCCATGAACCCAGCTTTTTTATATTGAGGCACATTTTCACATGTCCATACTGAAAATCACAACACATTCAGATTTCAATAATCAAAAGTCATCTCATTGAACTTCATTGAGTTTTTACAATGCCGGTGGTTTCAAAGTGATATTAATATGTGGTTTTAAATTAGATCACAAAAATTGCTTTTCTTTTAAATAGAAAATGTTATCAATCACACGGATGAAGAAGGATTTACTCCCCTGATGTGGGCTGCGGCACATGGGCAAATAGCTGTGGTAGAGTTCCTACTTCAGAATGTAAGAAAAATGCTCAGAAAATATGTATGTGTAGTTTCTGGAGCTCAGTTAAGTCTTTAGTGCAGTATTTATATCTGCAGCCAAGCAGACATAAAGGTGGAGGGTACACTGCCTTGGTTCTTGTGGAACCTGGGTCTAGCTGGGAAAGCAGTGGTAGCCATATATGAAACAGTGAGAAGAACTGAATGTCTAGCCCCTCTGAGTAGAGCAGGAACAGAAGTGCTGTTCACAGGTCCTGGAGGGAAAGGCTCCTGGGGTGGGGGTCGGGGGGTGAGGCTTTTCAGAGGGAAGGAGACTAAGTAATGAGGCAGCTGGAGAGAGGGAGGCAAGGAGGCAGGCATCCAGGCAGTTTGGGTTACAAGCACCATCTATCACTTTTCTGTTATTTCCTCATTAATCCTAGAATGTGGCCCAGCCTCAGTGTTAAACTGTAGTCGTATTGACAAAGACAAGTGTTCTTGTTTAAATTAATTGGAAGTCCTCTGTGTTCACTTCCCATGACAGGGTGCAGATCCCCAGCTTTTAGGAAAAGGTCGAGAAAGTGCGCTGTCATTAGCCTGTAGTAAAGGCTACACGGATATTGTCAAAATGCTGCTTGACTGTGGAGTTGATGTAAATGAGTATGACTGGGTGAGTTCACACGTTGAATTGAAAACTGCTGTAACAAGCCTGTACCTCCATTGTTAAAGTGCCAGCTTAGCACGCAAGGGCCCAGTGTTCAAACCCTAGAGATAGGAAGATAAAGATTATCTTTGGCTGGCTTCATGGCTATTTCAAAGCCACAGGACTACTTGAAACCTTGCCTCAAAAATAAATAAATAAAATAAATTATTGTAATATTTTTTGGATTGAATTGATTTCAGGGAGACATAAGCTTTATTAAGGACTTGGAAGAAAAAATGTACTTACTTAAGATGAGCAACTTAATGTCATAAATTCAATTATTGCTTGTGACTTATATTTTTCACAAAGTATTAATATTATTTTAAACTACTTCTACATGCCCAGTGCCATTGCAGCATTTGATTGACTGTTGCTCAGTGAGAAATGCTGATGACCTTTTCCTCCTGCAGAACGGAGGGACACCTTTGCTTTATGCCGTCCATGGGAATCACGTGAAGTGTGTAAAGATGCTGCTAGGTAAGCAGGTGAATACAGTCATTATTCAGAAGCCCTGGGAGCATTTTATTTGCAATGTCCCTGTTCGGACAAGCTTACCTAGTGCTCGGATGTATTACCCTGCGGCGTTTGCTCCTGGGTTTCCTTTACCACGGGGCTGCCCTGAGAGAGGCAGCTCCATCATACTGCACACTGCACTTGAAGATTTTGCCCTTCCTGCTCACATCTGGGGTCACCTTTGACTCCAGTCTGGTGTTCTCCATGCACAGTTTCTTTGAGTATAAGTTGTTTATGAGCTTCAACTACTCTAGAGACGTTTAGGTACCTTCTCCAGCCACCAGATGAACTCTGTATCCCATGCGCTCAGGACTTTGTATGAGCATGTTGCAAATAGCCTCCGCATTGGCTGAAATCTGTTCAACCATTTGCATATGAGCCACGAATAGACAGACATTTGCATTTTCATCTTATTTATATAGATTTTTCTGTTTTGATACAGAAAACGGAGCTGACCCAACAATTGAAACAGATTCTGGATACAATTCTATGGATTTAGCTGTAGCTTTGGGCTATAGAAGTGGTGAGTATTTTAGAGCTCTCAGGTTTCATTTTAGGAAGACTTTATATATAGTAATTGCCAGTGATCCAAACCTTTTTCATCACTTCATGGGTAAAACATTATATTATCCTAACTCTGGCCATATGCTTTAACGGAGTGCAAAGTAAACAGATGTCTATAGAGTTAAGAAATGAATTAACTTATTGTTCTTTTTCATAAGCTGAAATAATAGTTACTGGAGGAAAAGTGGGCAGTATTTGCAAGGTTTTCAAAAATGGTACTTTGGAGTCTTCACTTTTAAAAAAAAAAAAAAAAGTGGTAAAACCTCAGTAGAGAAAACACAGAAGCTCAGGCAGCTGCTGAATTAGGAACTACATAACAGTCCTACTTAGAAATAGCAGAAATAGCTTCATTTTACAAAATACCCAGGCTAAGTTGAATTTATAGAGCAGCAGCCTTTTGTTTGCTTGACTTTGCTTTGTTTCTGTGCTGTGACCTTGGTGGCCTGTCTTTGCAGTTCAACAGGTCATTGAGTCACATCTCCTGAAGCTGCTTCAAAACATCAAGGAGTGATGCAACCCTTAGAAAATGCCAGCTGCCCTTCTCTTCACTTCTTGGTCCTTATAAATGATAATTCTGTTTACGTGTAAATTTTTACCTCAGTTGCAATATTTGCTGGTTTTTAGTGAGTTTTAATAAATATTCCTCTGAATAATTCACTGGTTTATAATAAAGTTAATCCTGATTTTTATTTTAAAATAATTTTTAAACAAATGTGTTTACTATATATTTAAAGTTATAAATTAATGTTTTATGGCATGTAAATTTTTATGGTACAGGTGGTTATGTGTCTTTGTATTAAGTACCAAAATTTGACACTTTGAGAAATTCCACCCTGTTTATCTTCACTCTTGTATTAACTCTCTGACTTTGCACAGGGCTTACTGTAAGTCTATGGGAGAAAAAAATAATGTTCTTGTTGAATTAAAAAGTATACAGTATGATGGTTTACAAAATCATGTTTAAATAAAATACTTCTGCTGTCTGTGCATTCTAGCTCTTTGATTATGTTTAGCAAGATTTTCAGTTTATCATTTATGTTCTACAAATCAATCAACAAAGTACCTTTAGAACATTGTTCTCTTATAAATTGGTTTGAGAAGGAAAAGTCATTATGAAATACATTATGAAATAATGTATATGAAATTAATCAAATACATTATGAAAGAGATGTGAGGATGCTCTTTAACCCTACTGGAGGAAAACCATTAACTTGCCTTTTACTAAAATCTAGAAGAGGGAGCCACGAACTGTAAAGTGATTTGACTGACTGTGAGACTTGATTGAGTTAAATCCCTTCCTCTGCAAAGTAGATATTATATCAGTTGTAACCCACATGAATTGATCTGTATAGTATAAACAAAAGAGAGCTAAGTGGGACTGAAAAGATGCCTTGGCAGTTAAAAGCACTGGTCACTTTTGCAGAGGACTGGGATTTGGTTCCCAGCACCTACATGGCAGCTCACAAATCGTTAACTCCAGTTTCAGGGGGATCCAGCACTCTATGTGTATAACCATTGCATGCATGTGGTGCCCATACAAATATGCAGGCAAATATTCATTCACATAAAATTTTTTAAAGTTATGTTACAGGTAATATTAGGTACAATTGCTGAGTTATATGCAAATCTTGTCCATATACTTACACTTTGGGGCGGGGGGGTCTCTGCAGTCACTCTGGCCAGCAGACCAACAGTCTGCAAGAGGTGTGAAAGTTCAGTTCAACATGACTAAGTAGCCACTGTTGGTTCAAACTGAGAGTCTGACACCAAGTAGACTATTTTAGGGACATTGAAGCATAGCACAATTTGTTCTGGATAAGTACACAGAACTGAAGTTCCCTTTGTCCTTTCATCGGGGCCTCTGAGAAAGTCTTCGATTGGTCTGGCTCCCCACTTAAAAGCCTCGTGTTTTCCCACAGATCCAGAGCTTTCCATGACTTAAGAATGAAGGTCAAAATGAGTTTCTGCTCAGCAGTCTTTGGAACAAACTGCAGGGCTTCTGAAGCCTGAATTATTGTTCTTCTGTTCTAGGTTAGGGCCCTAAGCCCAAGAAGTTCTTCCCACATCTTACCACCATATCAGCTAATCAGCGTAAATTCCTCTTTTCTTTAAGGTCTGCACAATGTGCTAAGAGATCTCTGCCTTCTTTTCTTTTTATTTTATTTATTTGGAAAGATAGGAGCATGTGCTCACAAGAATGCACATATACCATGGCACACATTGAAAGGTCAGGGGACAATTTACAGGAGCCAGTTCTCTCCTCCCACCATGTGAGTTCCAGGATTGAACTCAGGTTGCTGGGCTTGACAGCAAACACTATTACCTGCTATGGAGTGTAACAGCTGTTCAAGAGATGATGTCCAGGAGTCTGTCACTGATACCATCAGTGATGGGATCTGGGACACCCTTCTACAGGGCTTTCTATAAGGCTCTGCAAGTTAGAGGTTCTGGGATTAAAAGAACCTTCAGGTGTGCTTCCAGTAAAGGCAGAACAATCTAAGACAGGACAGTTAAAAGCCAGTTTTGTAGCACTCTGTGGTTATTTCATGAGCAATTTGCCAGTGCCTCTTCTGAGGGTAAGAACCTATTTCAGGTAGCAAGGGTGTTAATGAAACTTGGAGGATTTTTCCACAAAAATGCATGCTATCTGGAATGTTTACACTCACAGCATTTCACTGTTGGGAAGGCTAAGCATCACTTCTAAGCAGTTATTCCTCCCATTTCCACTACAAGCCAGTCAGAATCATGTTCTTTTAATATCAGAGACATTATAATCAGATGTGTTGCTATGTTTTAGAGTTAAGAAATACTTTATACTTCAGTGACAGATAAAGACATGTCTCAGTTCCAGACATAGATGCACAGAGAGCCATATGGAAGAAAGCAAACAAAACAAAACAAAACAAAAAACCCAAAGAACTCTCTATCTCCCTCTCTCTCTTCCTGCTTATTTATTTATTTATTTGTTAGGGATGGAACGCAGGGCTTTGCTCAGCCTTTTTGAGCATTTTTTTTTTCAAATTGTTTCCTTTTGTTTTAAATAAAATTGTGTTTCATGTCACAAACACTTGGCCCTAGCCCTGGGTTACATAACACTAGGCTAATGGTGGAAGAAAGTGAACAGTGGCTTCAGGCAAACGGAATTAGAATCAACTACACAAGAGACAAAGACAGTGATTTTTGACACAGTGTGTGGGATTCTTTATCTTTCCTCTCTTTTTCTCTAGAGCATGGGATTCTTGACTGACTTGAGGCTACATATAGACAAACAGACCAAACCAGACTACACAAAACCAAAGTCACTAGTAAGTGGGATTTCTGTCACCTGCTACTGAGGACAGATGTTATACACAGCTTCTGTTATGCTATGTATAACAGATGTATATCTCTGTTATACATCCAGCAGGGATCACCAACAGCAGACCACAAAGGCTAACCCCCAGGCTGGAGAGATGGCTCAGGGATTAACAGTTTATGAGAACTGGCATTCAGAGTTCAAAGACTGGCATCCATGCAACAAGCCTATAATCCCAGCTAGAAAGGAGGCCGAGACTGGAGAATGACTGGGGCTTGCTGGCTTCCAGCCTAGCCCAGACAACACGAGCCCAAGGTTCAGGGAGATTCCCCTGCCTCAGCCAGACAGAAGATGAGAAAGGAGGACACCTGGCACTCTCTTTAGGCCTCCATGCAAGCACACAGGCATGGACAGTCCTCTCCCACACCTCATAAATGTGTACATATACTCACACAGATACAAACATACATGAATAAACTAATAATAAAAAATAATTTCTAAAAAGCTAATAATCCCCTTCACTTAGCCATCAATAGATAATATTTTCATAAATGTGTGCAAAGTTGAAAGAAAAACAAATACATAAACTCTGAAGATGGTAGCAAGACCTGGAATCAGAAAAGCTAAATTTCTGTTGCTCCCTGGACTATCCTTCAAGGTCAAGGGAACCTGTGCAAGTAAGTAAGCCCATGTGGCCCCAACATTTAATACTTTCAAACACCAGCAAGTGACCTTTAAACTGTTCCCAGATCATTTTCAAAAGACTACAAAGACAGGACACCTTCATACAACTAAGCCTGTGACAAATACTTTAATCTTTTCATGAATAACGGAAGAAGTCAGGGAGAAGCTAAACTAGCTGAACATTATGACATACCCCTTTAGTTCTATCACTCAGGAGGCAGAAGCAGATCGCTGAGTCTGAGGCCAGCCTCGTCTACACAGTGAGTTCCAGGAAAGCCAGGGCTACACAGAGAGATCCTTTCTCAAAAAAAAAAAAAAAAAGTTAAAACTGGCCCTGACTCCATATAAGATGCTGGGGAACTGGGCTGACCTTGAGATAAGATTGCTGGTCATATATAAACCTAGCTAATGAGCAACAGGAACCTACACTGCATCGAATGGCTCATTCCCACAGTCTAGAACTTGTTTTGTTTTACAGATAAAAATCTCCAAAGTGGGGCAGGAGAGACAGCTTTTCTGATTCTCAGTACCCACACAGTGGCTGGTAACCATCTGCACTCCAGCTCCAGGGCATTCTACGCCTTCTTCCAGCCTCCAATAGCACCAGGCATGCAAATGCTACACAGATAACATGCAGCAAAACCCCCATACATGTAAGAGTTCTTAACAATTTAAAACCTATGAAGCAACCTGTAATTTCACTCAGTCTGTGGCCTTTAACAAACAGTGACTATTTAATCAGATTCTGTTTCTCCAGATAATCCTCTGGGGGACTTTGTCCCATATGACATTGAAAGAACATGTCACCATGACCTGTTAAGACTTCAGGGAAAGCATGGCTGGGGTTAAGGAAATCACCCTGGTGATTAATCTCCCTTCTTTCATCAGCTGATGGTAAACGAATACAGGTGCCCTGAAGTGTTGGTGACAACGCTTGTCTTACATCACCCTGCTTATATGAGACGGCATAGTGGGTCCAGGAGTCACCTCAGGGAAAGAAGTGGAAAACTGGAGATCTGCAGGAAAAAAGGTTAAGGTTTTAATATGCTTGATCATTATAAAAATAAATGCCTGGGCGTTTAAGGAAAATAGTAGTGGATGGATTTTCTGAGTTTGTCACTCTGAAATTTTCTTTGGAATGTCAGCCTCCTGTATGGGTAAGATTTTATTGCAATACTTTTTAACACTTTTAATTCTGTTCTTAGCACAAAGTGTTCATATATTCTTATACTATTGATAGATGATAGATAGATAGATAGATAGATGATAGATAGATGATAGGTGATACACACATACATGCATAAGATAGATGCTTTGTCAGGTTATACCATTTACCATTTATAATCCAGTTGGGGCAAGGAATCTACTCTTAGATCTTAAAAGATTTGCTGTGTGAAAACTAAAATGTTTGCAAATCTGATAGCTTGAAAGAATTGCTACACAAACTCTGGCTATTGTAAACCCATAAGTATTCTTTTTCATCTTTTTTTTTTTTGTGTGTGTGTGTATGTGTGTGTGGCAAGACTCCTCAAATTACTTGCCTAATGACAGTCTCATAAGTTTGCCTTCTCACTCGTAAAATTCCAAATTGTAGCTATACCTTCTTGTATTTTTAAAAATAATTTATTTATTTTTATTTTATGTTCTTTGGTGTTTTGCCTACATATGTGTCTGTGGGAGGGGGTCAAATCCCCTAGAACTGGAGTTACAGACAGCTGTGAACTGTCATGTGGGTGCTGGGAATTGAACCTGGGTCCTCTAGAAGAACAGTCAGTGCACTTAACACTGAGCCATCTTTCCAGCCCCAACATTTTTTATATTTTGTTGCTAATAAATTTTTAAAATGTATGTGTATTTGTTTCATAACAGAAAGTAACAATAGCCAGGTCTGTAACCTCAACTCCTTGGAAGGTTGAGGCAGGAAAATTGCAAGTATAAGCCTTCCTGGGCTGCAGTATGAATTCAAGACCAGTCAGACAACTTAGTGAGATTCTGTCCCAAAAGAGAGAGAAAAATATGACTGTGTTTATAGCTAGGTGGTGGGATCCTTGTCTGGCATATGTAAGGCCTCTACATGCACTAGCATGTCCATGGTGCACATACATACATGCAAGGCACATATATATGTATAAAATATAAAGTAAAATTTAAGGAATAACTTTTTTGAAAAATAACATAGGAGGCTGGAGAGATGGCTCAGCAGTTAAGAGCACTAGCTGTTCTTCCAGAGGTCATGAGTTTAATTCCCAGCAACCACATGGTGGTTCACAGCCACTACAGTGGGATCTGATGCTCTCACTTGGTATGCAGTCATACATGAAGACAGAGCATGCATAAAATAAATAAATAAATCTTTAAAAAACATAATACAGGCACTAGAGAGAGAACTCAGAGGTTAAGACCAATTGTTGCTCTGACAGAAGACCTGGGTTCCATTCCCAGAACCCACATGGTGGCTCACAATGGTCTATAAATCCAGTCCCAGGGGAGCAAATGCCTTCTGCCCTCCAAGGGCACCAGGCACGTATGTGAGGCACACATATATGTGCAGACAAAACACTCATACACATAAAATAATAAGAGAAGATAAATCTAAAAAATTACTTAACATTTATCATGTTATTGAATCCATAACAGAAATCAAGAAATGTTTTCCTACCTAGGCAGTGGTTGAGTACACCTTTAATCCCAGCACTTGGGAGGCAGAGGCAGAGGCAGAGAGGTCTCTGTGAGTTCGAGGCCAGCCTGGTCTACAAAGTGAGTTCCAGGACAACCAGAGCTATTACCTAGAGAAACCCTGTCTCGAAAGAAAGAAAGAAAGAAAGAAAGAAAGAAAGAAAGAAAGAAAGAAAGAAATGCTTCACTATTGGTGCTTCTATGGTCTTTTGATTTGAGAGGGTCAGAAGTGTGACTATTACTCTGGGAACAGTTACAATTCATTTCCTGCTGAATTCTCTCAATAAAATGAGACCTCTATACATACAGGTCTGGATTCACAGATGCACTTGACTACTAGAAATAACCAAAATAACCAAGATTGCCTCTGTATTGAACATCTGCAGACTTTTTCGCATCTCATTATTCCCTGTGAAGGAACCGGCTTCCCTTTTGGCAGCCATAACAGCCGAACATGTGCTTGCCATATACCTGCCTTGGTCACTTAGAGGTCAGATGCCTGTCTCGTGACAAGGAACCTTAGTCACTTAGAGGTCAGATGCCTGTCTCGTGACAAGGAACCTTAGTCACTTAGAGGTCAGATGCCTGTCTCGTGACAAGGAACCTTAGTCACTTAGAGGTCAGATGCCTGTCTCGTGACAAGGAACCTTAGTCACTTAGAGGTCAGATGCCTGTCTCGTGACAAGGAACCTTAGTCACTTAGAGGTCAGATGCCTGTCTTGTGACAAGGAACCAATCAGAAGTTAGCTGGT